GGAGTACAGTGGTTGTGGGTACAGGAGGATGTTAGGAGAGATCATAATAAGGTGGAAGGGAGTGGGGGCGTCACCAACTTGACAGCTCTTGGGAAGAAGCTATTTTGGAGTCTAGTTGTGTGCGACTGGAGTGACCAGAACCTTCTGCCAGATGGTAGGGGAATAAACAAGTTATGACTGGGGTGATTTATTTGTATAAGTGGGGACAGCATGGTAATGTGGTGGTTAGCATTGCTAATTTGCATTTGGGGTTGCCCAGGGTTCATTTCCAGACCTGGGGTGCTATCTACAGAACGTGGAGTTTATACTTTCTCCCTCTGTTCGTATGGGTTTCCACTGGGTGCTCTGGTTTCTTCCCACAGTCCAAAAGCAAACAGTTAGGCCTAACCTGTTAGGTTAACTGGTATATCTGTGTATCCCCTAAGATGGAATGATGGGTCTGTACCTTTATTATTTTCATGAGGCAGGGAATCCCTATAATACATACAAAGTAACTATATTTTACACAATCTAATAGAACATGCTTGTGGTAGGCCAGGCACAGTGTGTGGCTGCAGAGGAGGGTGACTGAGAGAGACACACACACAGGCAGTGATAACCTTAATTACTCGATTCCTCACTGGGCTGAAGACCCAGCAGCAACAGGCAACTTGATTATTGCCCAATGAACTTATCATTGTTGCCAATTGTCAGATTATAAGCATTTGATTTTCCCCCTTCCAATTGCAGGTATGCTCAATAAGCGCTGCTGCCAACTTGGTTTTTAAATGATCAAATCAATAAAAACACACTAAAATCTGGCAGCAATGCTGTAGCATTTTTCTTCATCCTTAAATACATTTACTCTGTGTATTAGGTGGGTTATTACTGTATCAATAAACATGGGTAAAATTCTATGTCATCTCCTGCTTGATTATGTTATTTGAAATTACATGCATGTGATGTCATGCACTTTCGTACTATTTTGCTCAAAGTGATTGCAGGTAGAAACTAAAAACTGTACTGACCACCCATCGCTATGCTCTTCTGAAACAGTCAAGAGGAAGAGTATAAACCAACCTTTCAGGAACTCCCTGACACTTCATGGGGAAGAATGCTAAGCTGTACGCTTTCATTTTGACCCAGATCTGTGTGCAGTTGTTATTTTTCTGCTGATGTCCTTTAAAAACTTTATTTTGGGACCATGGCTGACTTCACCTCTACATTCCTGATGCTGCCCAGGTCAAAGCCTGAAACTATGGTGGTTTGATAAAATTACTGGATTGGTTAACCCACAGTAATTGGGATTGGTTAGCTGGAAGACACGGAAGTGGACCTTGAGATGGACTGGAAGCTGGAGTATGCCTGTTACTCAGAAGATGTCAACAAATACGGACCTCTACAGGACTGTGTTGAAGGGAGAAATTTTTAGAAAAAAGCATCTTTTTACTCTTTAGTGCCAGCTTTCTGTCACTAGAGTCCAGCCTTACATACTCACTGACACTTCATAGTGGAGAACTTTATAATGTTCAGGTGGGTTTTATAATGTGCTGAGCCTACAGTATCCCATGGTAATTTGATCAATATCCTAGCTTGAAACTAAAATCCACTTTGCCTCCACATTCCTGATGGTTCTTCACTTCATGTGTCACACAAACTTCTCAGATATTCGAAGTACTAGGTGTTTGAGACCTGAACTGTTTCCTGGGCACAGTGACCAGAGCAAAGACTTTCACAAAAACATGCTTTTTTTCCTATTCCTGACATGTTTTTGATACAGAAGCCTAACTTTTAAACTCTAATGCATGCATCCTGTAATATTTTATTTTCTTATTTATACATAAATATACCCTACAGCTTCCACTTGTATGTCATTTTTTCATGCTGAAACCGTAATCAGAATACCCAACATTCACGGTTTCCATGTTCTTCTCATCTTAACTCACAGGAAATGACAACTCAGACTATTGTTTAACATTTTTGCAATTTCAGGCTCTAATATTTATCCTCTTATACCTGCCGTGCAACCGCAGAAGAAATATGAGCTGCAATTACTTGCAGATAAAATATATCAATAAACACATCTTTATTTTAATTCATGCACAAATTATATAATAACACTTTTTAAAGTTAAACTTAAACTAATTGTTAAAACCAGATGTTTGCAAAATGGCATTTGTTGCTTTTTGCTTATTGTGCGCTGTTTTACACCTCTCATTTTAAAATAAAATTTTGTAACACGTGATTAGCTTTTCTTTAAATGTTGAACAGCCTTCTCTTAAATATAACCATGAAATATTTCGGTTTTTTTTAAATGGGTCTTTTTCTATATAAAAAATAATCCGAGCAACTACAAAATAAAGGATAGTGAAAGTAAAAGTCAAATGTTTAAGGTCCCTGCCCGAAGAATAATTCTGAAAAAGAATCCATATTTTCTGTGTTCGGCAGACGTTCTGCGTTTCAAATGAATCTGGAAAGAATGAGAGGACCGCTTTAGCTTTCTCGTTCACACTGTGGCAAAACATCAAAGCCTATGAGGACAACGTTTACTGCTTTAGACGGCGATTGTATTCTAGTTGCGTACTTATATAGTTCTATCTGTTCATTTTAGTGTTGGTAAAATAAGAAGAAAGGGAAATTTCTCGGGCCCTTTCGTTCTTTTATTTATTTATTTCCATTTTTAAAAAAAGGCTGCAGTCAAGCTATCAAAACACTGGTACGCGATCATTTTCATCTAATTTTTTTGGTGACTGTTAAAAATAAATTTTAAAAATATATACAGATACTGTATATAAATATATTTTAAAACATGGCTCGTCCCCGGCCTCGGGAGTACAAAGCCGGAGATCTGGTTTTTGCTAAAATGAAAGGATACCCACACTGGCCAGCGAGGGTGAGTATGTGATATAGCCGGGGCTGAGAAGCAGGGAGGCGGGGTTGCTTGGGACAATACAGCCGGTGGAGGCAGCGGGATGCTGCTGTTGTGCTCGCATCGCGTTTTCTCCCCTGCTTCTGCCTCTCCGAACAACAAATCCGCTTGGTTATTCTACCGTTCATTTCGAGGTTTATTCATTTTATGGCTGTAGTGTGTTAAAACCACAACGTGTGTATGAAAAGGTAACCCGGTATTGTTGTTTTTCGCTTTTTTTTTCTGTGCTGATGGTGTATATGCAGTGAACATTTCAGCTGCGCCAAAGGCATCATTGAGCTCTTCTCCATCTTACCTTAGTTGCTGGAAAGCACGCTTCTGCTAACTTTCTTGGGTTAAAAAGGGAAACCATTTTAGAACCACGGGGATGTTTAAGGTCTGTAGAAGAGGAGGTTAATCAAAACCTGACACTGCTTTTAAATGTGTTTAAAGCAAACAGCGAATTAAGTGACAAAACATCTTGATCCCGAGAGTTATTGACAAGAACTGTAACTGCACACCGGGATGGTGGGGCTCCTTCCTTAGGCGAGAATTGACCTGGCAATGGTTGTTGTGGTACAGGGCAGCAGTCAAACCTCTGTCCAAGGCCTTTATATTAGGACGTAAAATGTGACAACATATAGAGTGCAAGTAAAGACCCCCCTCCCCTCCCCCTCCCAAATAGAACATCGTTTTTAAGAGTTGGTAATCTGTACAGCCCCATAATGTTATAAATACAAAATAATTCACGCGACTCTTGCGTGCTCATTTGTAAAAAGATGATGACACATAACGCACTGAACAGGACTTCCCGAGTGCTGTAAACATTAGGGGGCTTTTCCACAGCTTTAGATTCATGTGCAGAACAATCGTGATTATGTTTGCTTATGCAAAACAGCAAAGCAATTCTCAATTATCTGACAAAATGAAAAGGCAAGTGGTTGATCACTTTCTAAATTATAATGCTACTGTCACAGACTACACTGGAGCAGTTTTCTAGAGCAAATATGGACTTTTTAAAATAAAACTTTGACAAATATTCAGCAGGATGTTTAAGTACTATTTAATTATTAATTAAAAGGATATTGAGCCAGTGACTCAGACTGTGCTTAAGAATATGTGCAACATACTGTACAGCAGGTGTGACAGTGAGCTGGTCAAGATGTGTCTTTTTACACACAGGTTTGTTTATGCACTTGGGAGTCTTGGTTGAGGAAGGTGGCACTGGAATCATACCAAGATGGATTTTGTTGATGATGTTTGTGAAATACATCTGTGTGACTGTAAAATAGCTCTCTGTCCTTTGCCTTTGCCTTTTCTGAGTTGTTAAAGGTTCACACTAACCTTAGTGTCTTTGAGGGCTGATATTTCATTAGCACTGAGCTCAGAAAGAAACAGACGGGTATTTGAATCTGTTTTACTCTTTTCCAGTTGTGGTGGAGTTCACCACTGATAACTTTATTGAATAATGATGTTTTTTCATTTTTAATATGGCTTATCTAAACTTTGTACAGATTGAGTTTGAAGTTGATTTCTCATTGTAGTTATTTGTTGTCAGCCTTTACTCTACCTGAAAGAGAACCTTAGTCTGTTTATTGTGATGAATCATCAAGCACAATGGGGAAAAAAAGAAGATCTAAAACTTAGTGAGTCATTTATGAAGCATAGTTTTTAATCACTGAACACTGTGTCCTTTAACAAAAGGTTTCTACACTAAGATCACTGTTAACACTGGTGTATTACCCGTCTCTGTTACAGCAATGGTCTTTGAGGGAATCATATGGTTTCTGTGATCCCATTGTTGGTTGGAGTACTTGTACAGTATGGACATAGAATTGTTGTTTGTTTTCTGTGACAGGACAATCACAGGTTACAGCATTCTTCCCATTATCTATGGCTATCACAATAACAGTCCCTATTTAGATAGCAGTAATAACTAGCACTGAGGTCTTTGCAAAGCTGTGACCAAAGGAAGAGTAACCTGGGTTTTGAAGCATCTGCATTAAAACAGTATTACTTCACCGATTGTTCTTGAACACGTGCATCCAACGTGGTCACCACATTATAGAAGTAACAAAGAACATATTGCTGTTCTAGAATCAGCTAAGAGAAGAGTAACCAAATAGATTTTTGGTTTTAAGGCAATGTCCTACACTGACAGCCTGAAGGAACTGAACCTTCCTGGTCTTGACCAGAGAAGACTATGATGGAATCAGATCCTAGTATTCCATATCCTCAAAGGCGCTGATAGCCTCGACCCAGTGGACTTCTTCAAGATCAGTGATCTTGTCTCTTTTGAAGCTGTTCTTCTTTTCTTTTTCAAAATCAGTTTGTTTCTTCAGCGGTCTTGCCAGACTGGTGGGTAGCATAGGGCCCTGGAATCAAGGTTGCGTCATTTCTTTGAAATCTTTTTTCTCCTGTACGAAAAGTTACAAAAGCAGCCTTTCTACCTGGAAAAGCTGAGAAATGTTTAGGTCTGCTCACCTTTATGATTCCTTTTTCTGCCCCAGTCTGGGATAGTCTACTACAGTGGACCGGCTTCCTCTGAAACCTGTGTCATTAACCCTTCCTCTGCCTTACACTGAGAACAGAAGAGCTGCCAATTCAAACACAGAAAATACAACTGTTTGTAAGGACATCATAGTATTGCTGGTGAACTGGCAGCTGTAGCCCCTAATGAGCTTGTGGCCCAACTGAGACTGTATCTAGCAGACATTCATCTCTTTTCTAATCTCTTTATCCAATACAGGGTCACAGGGGAGCTGGTGCCTGAGCTGGTGCCTAACCCGGCAAGCAGCGGGCACAAGAGAGAGTATACTCTGAATGTGTCACCAGTCCATCACGAACATAGACACGCACAGTCTCACACCAGGGCCAGTTTTCCAAGAAGCCAGTTAACTGACCCGAATGTTTTTGGGCTGTGGGAGGAAACCCATGTGAACACAAGGGAGAACGTACAAACTCCAAGCTGGTAGCAACAGCAGGTCTGGAACTGAACCCAAGGACCCAGCACTGTGAGGTGCCCTCTAGCAGTCTTGTATATAGACTATACTGTATACTGTATATAGACTATATACTGTCTGACTATACTGTCTAGACTGTAGCAGTCTTCAGGTACGGTTACACTTTGCAAGCTTTGTTTTTTAGCAGATGAGTTGTCAATTTCTTAAACATTAATCCCAGAGAAAGAAAAATTACAATTATGTCAAAATAGAAATGTATCTGGAAAAACGTATCCTTATTAAATAACAATCCAGGAGTTTTGTTGTACAAGAAAATCTCCTTAATACACTTTCACAGAAGCGTGGCAATTAGTACTTTGCAACTTCTTTAAAGAATAGTATTAATGAATCATGTTAATAAACAGCTTTCTTGTTCTTTTCAGACCATCCTCTCATCAGAATTGAGTCTCACCAGAATTGAATGTGTTGTGTACGTAAGGTTTTGTAACGGAGAATCAGGGATCAGGATGTGTTCAATTGCTGTTGACTTAATCAGTCCATACTCATTACAGTACCCTCATTATATTCTTTCCCACAGCTCATCATAAAGAGGGGACTGGTGTTATTACTGTTGACCTCTGTATAAATTGCCTGTTGAGAGGCAGTTTCTCATTGCTCAATGTGCCTACTCCCTTTCTCTATGGCACTCTTAGACTGTAAGTGATTAACTGGTATAAAGAAAACATTTTCTCAAGGGTGAATATATATGTTTAGCATCAGGTTTGGGAAAGGTTTGCAGTTTAGATTGCATTTCCATAGCCACTCTTGTAACAGTTGCTTCCATTATTCTGCATTATTCTAGGTACTGTATATAGCTCAATAAAATACGAAAGTTTTGGTTTTGGACCAAAGACATTCGTGAGGCAATTTCTGAAAGTCCTAAATCCTGATTTCCAGATTAATCATGGATATTCAGTCTTTTCTTATTATTTTAATTTTCTTTTTTGCCACTGAGCATTGTGCATCAGCCATCCAAAAGGCAGCAGCCAGAAGCCATCAGTAAATGGCCTTATAAAACACTGTGATTATCAAATTGTTAGTGATTAACATGTACTCCCCCTTTTTCAACACGCGTGTACTGACTGTCACTTTGATGTTCAACATGAGTCAAGGTTACCATGCAAAAAAAGAGTCTGGATTGTTCAACAGACTGTATGAATGGACAATCCATTTAGTTGCTCATTATAGGCAGTTCACTGCATAAGGTGTTTTAAGATGTCCTGCAGCTCTGATCCACAGAAAGATTCACCATAATGTGCTACAGTATGTCTTGAGCATCTTAAGTTTCTGGTGTGGAGATATACCTTTATTTATTGCTACAGCAGACAGTCAATAGTTTATCGATATCCAAAAGTGCAGTTTTGCTGGAAAACATCAGAACAATTTGAGTTCATGGGAAATTCAGAGAATATTCGACCATATGTAATGTTTAGCATTACTGGTTATAACTTACAGTCTTATGTGAGCACATCGTTAATCCAGTGTCCTTTTCTTATCCATACAGTATGTCATCAAAACCACAGTGCACATATCCCTCACTCTACAAGCACAATTGGGTTCAAAATTTGAATTCCCATTAAAATACATGGAAATGTACCTGCATTTTCTGCTTGTCTTTTAGGTCTGCCAAGAATTAGAGCATTTTAGAATACAAGAAAAGTTTTTACTAAGAAGCTGTTCTGTGTTTAATGTGTGGAAGAGACAGGAATGACTCATTGTAAAGACTAATTATTAAATTACTAGAAAAGAGTGCACATCTGTGCTACAGTTCAGTATATACAGCACACTTTACACTGACCTCATGAAAACCTCGCAGATAAAATTAAACGAGCAAAAACTTAATTTCTTTTTTTAAGATGTGCATTCAGGTTAAGCTTTAGCTGTAGAATTCCTACTTAATAACTCCTGGTTCTGTTTTATTTACAAGCCCTTTTACAGCATGGCCTAATAGTGTTGCATACAGTATATACTGTACCAACGTTATAAACCAAAGTACAGGAACACCAGGAAACAATAAATATAATCACAAGTCAGAGCGTGTACAAAAAAGTACAATACAGTGAAGTACAGTAATGGTAATACAAAAAGTGCATTGCAGTTCTGCACAGTGAGAAATAAAAAAATAAATGTGTGATTGAAGCAGTATTTTAATTGCAGGCATATACAGGTAGTGTACATGCAGAGCGATAGTGTAGACACCCTGTTGGTACAAATTCCATGCTTGCAAAGAATAAGTGCAATAGTTCAATAACATGACAAGCTGAGAGTGAAATCCAGTCAGTGCAAGGCAGTGTTAAAGGTACTGAAGGATGTAGTTGAGAGCTGAGAGATCACTGGTGCTGTCTTAACTGATGAGTCTAGAAGAGACGCAAAAAAAGTGGTCAGGGACTAAACAGGCCTTCCTAATTAACTTTTGCGATTTTCTAATTAATTTTTATGACTTCCTAATTAACGTTTACACAGAAAACTAAGATTGTACTCAGTCTGTGAAGGATCAGCTACCTGAGCTGCAGGTGGTGGACAAAAAAGTGAAGCATTTGGGTTTCAATTCAGGAGGAACACCAAGTATATTGAAATTAAGGGCTTCCACACAGATGTGGCTAATTCATGAATTGAGCAAAATGGATCCCAGAATGTGTAGGGTCATGAATGAAAGTTCTGCAAAGGAAGAAGTAAAGCTTTCCATGCTGAAAAGCAAAGAAAAGAAACAATGTTCTTTGGGCTCCACAGCTAGGAATAAACCTTTGCTGGTTCCTTTGCAGCCTACATATGCTGACGCAGCTACCTACTTAAACTACTATGAAAGTCTGGGCAGGCTGGGTTCCATATAATTTTGGATAGCACGGCTGTAAGAGGAGACCCCCAGAAATGTTGAAAGAGGGGTGATAGTTGAGGAGTATTTGGTAGGAGCTTTAGGGATTTAGATATCTCAGCTTGCTGGTTTCATGAGCAGCAGATTCTGACGTCAGCATGGAACTCTGGGGGACAGGTATCCTCCGCAAAGGGGCTCGGTGGAAGAAAGCACATATTCCACGTTGGCGAAATCCGTGCATTGATTTGAACTGTGAGGCAAAACAGGGAAGCAGCTGCAATTTTCAACCTGGAACTGGAGCTGCCATCAAAGACAGTTCACCAAGTTCTCCACAGAGTGGGGTACTATAGTTGGGTTGCACAATCCAAACAGCTCATCACTCCTGGCCATGCATGTCTGCAAGTCCAGTGGTGGAATAGCACGGGCTGTATACTAAAAGCAGTGGAATAATCTGATAAGGTTAGATGAATCATCCTTCTCCGTGTTCTCGCCAAACAGAGAAGTATACATGTAATCCCAGCCTAAAAACCTCAACAGCCCTGAGTGTGTGATACCAATAGAGAAGGGTTCTCTTGGTGCCACTGGCACTTAATTGCTTGTTCTCCTGCCATGCTTTCGATGAGCCCATTTCCTTTGAAGGCAAGAGCGAGGCTTATCACTACTTGATGGTGCTGAGTGATCATCTTCATCCCAACTTGGAGCATTTCTTTCCTGCTGGGAGGGGTGTCTTCCAGAATGGCATTGCTCCCATCCACAGAGCACATTTGGTCATCAAACCAGATGGTTTGATGAGCCTGACACTGGTGATAGCCACATGCCAGGGCCTTCTCAATAAGCAGGTTCAATCCCAATTGACCATTTGAGCATGCAATAGTCTGGAATGATAACTTCAGGTATCAGTTTCAGCTCCACCATCTCCAAATTTCAGACACTGGTAGACTCCATGTCACAACCCACGCAGGCTGTACTGACTGCACATGGTGGTCCAGTGCCCTGTTAAGTGCGTTTGCTGTCCTGTGTTTTTTCTTTTATCCCTATATGCAATAGTTCTGCTAGTGTTTTATTGCTGCCAGCATTAGACTAAACCAGGGGATTCCCA